AATTAGGAGGTCCTGTGCAGTATAGGTGGATGTATCCTTTTGAAAGGTTTTTCAAAAAACTGAAAGCAAAAGCGAAGAACAAAAGATATGCATCAGGATCGATTGTTGAATCATATATCAGCAATGAGATTGCTTATTTTACGGAGCACTACTTTTCCGATCATATACAAAACAAAATCGAGGTAAACTCCAAATGGATAATTCATATTTATAAGTCAATATTGGCCACAGGATAATTTTACATTAACATGTGAATTTATATTTATTTGTATGTAATGGGAAAGGTTAACAAGATTTGACGAAGGTGAAGTCCCTGTATATGATGTTCCCGGAGTTCCTGATATATTTACTCACGTAGGTCGGCCAAGTGGGCAAATGCATGAAATATGGCTTTCAGAAAAAGATCACAAAATTGCACATGCATATGTTTTGCGAAATTGCGATTACTTTCAACCATTTGAGAGGTATATCGAATTTCATCCTTGTCAGATATGTAATCTACAATCATTTCTTGTATAATATATTTTTGTGGTGGACAGGATGTTCGAAGATTATATTTCCACAAAATATCCACAACTCTCTGATAAAGAAATTTCTGCAAAAAGAGCGGATGAATATCCTTCATGGGTGAAAGATTACGTATGTTTTCTATATTTATATGTGCAGATTACTTACTGGAACACTACGAATCCTTTTCCTATTTGGGTTCAGGATATAGTTCATGGACCAGTCAATAAAGCCAAAACCTGGCCAATTTACTTTACGAGAGGATATTTGTTTTATACAAGGCACCATGGCATGGGACGAAAGACATGTAACTTTGGAGTGTGTGTGTTAAAGGAGAAAACTACACCGATGCATCTGATGAAGCTGATTTTTACGGGATCTTAACTGATATCATAGAACTCAAGTATGAGGGGATGACAAATCTGAAAATTACACTTTTCAAATGTGAGTGGTATGGCCCTGTAATTGATAGAGGCACTCGAAGGAGCAATGGTGGTCTCGTTGACATTCTTTCATCAAGAAAGTACAATAAATACGAACCATTTATTCTAGGTAAAAATGATATAAATATACAAAGCAATACATTTCATGTATTTAGTTTTTAAATTATATTTGTATTCTACAGCCTCCCAAGCAGATCAAGTTTGTTATATTCCATATCCATACCGGAAAAAACCAAAGCCCCTGTGGCTAAACGTCTTAAAAGTGAATCCAAGAGGGAATATTTCAGGACAATATGAAGACAAAGAACCAACTCTCTTGCAACAAGATAATGATGATGGTGTTATGCTGACCACAATTGAAGATATCGTTGTTGAAAATCGAGTACACAGGGTAAACCCAATAAATCTCGATTACGATGTCGGAGATGCAGAACCAGAAGATGAATTTAGATGTAATTTGTCATCATCTGATGATGATGATGAAGATGAAGAGGATCCTTACTACTATGTGTCTGTTTATGAATAAAATTGCTGAATGAAATTGTTGTATTGTAAGATAAACTGTGTTGGTGTTTTTTAAAAAAACTTAAAAAATTTACGACTGATTTCCGACTCCTTTACTACTAATGGCCCAAAATTTAACCCGCAAACAAAGCCCACCTTTAATCCCATTATCAGGCCCATTATTTAGACTAAGCCCACTAATATACTTAGTCGTTTACACCTTAATCCCGAAAAATCCCCAAATCCATTCTCAAAACCTAACCCTAATTTCCCAGAAAATCCCCAAATCCATTCTCTTCCCCAAACCCTAAACTATCGATCGATCTTCCCCAATTTCAACCGAAATGCACCGTTAATTGATACTAGCCATCCTTAATCGACTGATATTCCCTTAATCCTCTTAAAAAACCCTGAATCGATCCCGACGAAAAACCCATCCCGAAATACCCGACGAGCATCGATCCCAAGCCTCTCCAGGATTCCGATGGGTGGCCGTGGAAGGAAGAAACACGGATGAGCACGAGGAGGAGCAGCCTTAACCAGTCGAGCATCGACTCCCTTACCCAGTCGGTATGAGTTCATACCGGCGACATCTCCACCACCGCTAGTCCCGAGCAACGGGCCGACACATGTAAGAGATTATCCACCGCCGATGGAGCTCTTCCAGAACTCGCAACAAGGAGCCCCTGAGTCTCAACCACCGCCTCAACCTAGAAGGTCAGAACATTCTCAAACTCGGTTCTCTCCATCTCCTCAACACCGGTTCCAAGAGCAATCTCATCGGCAGCATTCTGCATCACCTCAATCTCAGCACCAAGGAGCTTCTGGAGCTTATTCTTTCTCTCAAAACCGAGCCTCTCCATTATCTCAAGAAGGAGGTAATTCTCCACACTCTCAACAAGCTCATTATGACAGTGAAGAAGCTGCATTTCAAGAACCTTCAGATGAAGAATACGGTGATGTCAACCTCTCTGAAGACCAGCTAAGCATTCTAAATGCCTTGCTCACGAAGCCTGGGAGAGAGGCTTATACTACGGTACTGTCTCCCATAGAGAAACCGGGTACAACGTGGTAAGTCTTTTTTACTCTAGCTTCATTTGTTTCATTCTTCAAATGATGGCTCGATGACTGCTTGCTTTGTTTTCTTTGTATCCATGTTTGGTCGTGACAAGTCCTCTCTTACCCGGAAGATTACCTAGGTATTCACCAACAAGTTTGATGGCCCTTTGTACAGCTGGAGTCGTGTGCCTCATGATAGACAAGAGCATTACTTCATGAATTCGTGGTAAGATCATCCTTTTTCATTTACATGGTTTTGTTTTTGTTTTTGTAACTATATCTTATTCTAACATCATCTCTTTGTCTCTTGTTGTTGTAGAAAACCCACACCTGGGATCCCTTGATCACTGGTGTGGTTCAAGAAAAATTTGAGAGCATTTGCAAAAGCCGGATGAAGGATATGGTCAGCACCATAAGGACATCAAGAGTGCAACCTAACTGGATCGGGGATACACTCTGGGAACAAATGACTGCCTATTGGGACACAGAAAAATCTAAAGATAAGAGTTCAACAACTTCAGCTGCTCGGTTGTCTGAACGTGGTGGTCTTGGACCTCACGTTCACTTCTCAGGTCAGAAATCCTATATGCAAATCCAGCAAGAAATGGTAACTTTCTATTCTGTTATTCTTCAATAAGTTTAGGAAATATGATTAATAACTTACCCGCTGACATATTTTGGTTTATAATTTCAGGAAGAGGAATTAGGTAGACCGGTGAGTCTTGGTGAGGTATTCATCAGGACTCACACAAAAAAGGATGGGAGTTATGTGGATGGAAAGGCAAAGAGAGTGGCTGAGACTTACCAGAAAAACTTGGAAGCCAAGTTGTCTGCCCTAGACCCTGAAAGCTCAGACAATACTGAGGGTACATCACCTCGTCGAGAGCTAACTGTGGAAAAGCAGAACGACTTGTTTCTACAGGTAAGGTTCTCTATTCTTTTATGGATTTTTCTTGCTTGTCCTTTGATTCTAACATGGTTTTAGTTTAATGAATCATATGTCTGACTCTTTTTTTTTGTATTCGCAGTCGACTATTATGAGTGAAAGAAGTGTACCTTATGGAGTTGGTAGCCTCTCTCACTTGTACGTCAATGGCAAGAGGAAGTACCCAGGAAGCTCTGCATCTTACGGCACTCTGTAGGAACAGCTTCAACAAGCTCAAAACCAAATAGAGCTCCAAGCGGCTGAGAATGCAAGGCGTGAAGCAGAGTTTGCCAAAGCTTCAGCTGCACAAGAAGCCAAGCTCGAGAAGCTCACCATGGTTGAAAGGTACTTGACTCAAACTGATCCACGGTTCAATGATTTTTTGGCTAGTCAAACTCATCCATCGACCATTCCTTCTGCAAAGTCTACCACTCAACAACCTGATGATCCGCCTGCTGATCCGACAACACATGTAACTCAAACATCAAGTACCACCTTAGATGTGTAGGTCTCTTCTCACTTTTTTTTTTAATGTCTCGGAACCTTAGGACTCTTTTTAATGTCTCGGAAACTTTAGAAGAGTATGTCTCTTCTCATTTTGTACTTCTCTATAATGGTTGTATATAGAAACCATTTGAAATTTTTTGGGTTTAAATGAATGATGATGATGAATGTATTGGTTTTTAGCTTTTTAAATATTGATCATGGTTTAGTATTCAAATGTGCATTTTATAGCACTGTTTATAAACAGGTTTCAAAATTGGGGGTTTCTAAATAGCAAATTCCAAATTACAAAAACAATGATCAAAATAGTCACTAAACAGTCTTAAATTTGTCGGAAAAAGGTCACAGATCAGTCACAATTCAGTCGTAAAAGTGCAAAAAGTACTGTTCATTTTCCGACAACAGTAGTGAAACAGTCGCAAATAAGTAGGTAAATATGTCACAAAACAGTCGTCAAATGGTCGTTTATTTAACGTCTAAATAACGACTGATTATTTAACGACTAAATTTCTATTACATTGATATTAAGAGTACGACTGCATTTTAGTCGTAACAGAGTCGCAAATGTAGTCGTAAAATAGTCACTATAGTTGCCGACGGATTTACGACTAAGTTACGTCAGTTTATATCACACAATTTAGTCGTAAAATCGTCTCAAAATTACGACTATTTCACGACTGTGGTAATTAGCGACTAAGAATTACCGACTACTTATTTTAGTCGCTAATCAGACGTAAATTGCCGATTTGCGACTATTTTCCGACGTTTTCTGGTGTCGCTAAATTCGTGTATTCTTGTAGTGCCTAAATCCATTTAGTTCAACAAAATCAATTTAATGGTTATTCATCCGAACACCCGATGGACCATATCGAGACGTTTGAAGAATTATGTGCAATCTTTACAGCAAATGGGGATTACCACAAGTGTAGTTTTTTCTCATTCTCTTTGAGAGACAATGTCAGCATATGGCTAAAATCTTTAGAACCTGCTTCACTAAAAACGTGGAAAGCGTGTAGAAAGACTTTCCTAAATCGTTTTTACACTAGAAATCGTTCAAATTTCTTAAGGAACAAGATAAGAACTTTTAAACAAAAAGAAGATGAAGATCTTTTAGATACTTGGGAAAAATTTAGGGAATGCCAGAGAGATTATCCACATCACGGATATAGCGACGAATACCTGATGGGTATCTTCTATCGAGGCATAACTCCAGAGTTACAACACTCTTTCGACACAGCAAGTAATGGAGACTTCTCAACAATTTCGCAAACAGCATCCGTAATCAAGCAACCTGAGAAGAAAGAAAAGATTTCGGAAGTCATGCAGTGTTCACCATCCCTTGATCATAAGAATCCATTGGGTTGTCCCAACCATCAAAGTTACACGTATTTTGTGCTTTGTTTGGTTGTTGCAATCCAAGTTGACTCATTATGTGATGGAGACACTATCAAATTCCAGATTTTCCCTTCGTTTCTGATCACCACGGGTCCATTCATTCGGACCGCAGAAAAACGTGCTTTCACCACGGTCGTGACAATGCTGACCGCGGCCAAGACCTGTTTCACCACGGTCGCGAGCCTTATGACCGCGGGAAACACTCTTCCGAACCTATCTGGGCTATTCAATCCAATTCCAGTCCCTATCCTAGTTTTCCCTCTTCTGAAGCTGAAAATCTAAACAAAAGAATTCTAGAGCTTGAAAAATATAGGTATCAAGAAATTAGTGATCTTAGATCTGAACTAAAAACAATGCAAGAAGATTTCAATGAAAAATTTTCTACGCTCCTTAGCCTGATGATCAAACCTAATTCTAGAAACATAGAAAATTCCGAGGAGGAGCCAAGTGAAAATTCTTTCGAAAGCTCAAGTGAAGCAGATCCTCCGATCATGTGAAAGCTATCACACTTAGGAATGGATTAACTTACAAAGAGCCTGAATTTCCTAAAGATCCCAAAGATGAGAAAAAGGGTAAGGAAAAGGAAAAAGAAAGAGAAAGAGTCACAATTGAGGATGTTGATAAAGAAGTGGAAGGAGAGAAGGATGGAGAAAAAGTAAGAGAAGATACATCCCGGGAAATCCTCAGAGAAGACCCAATTCCCCCTCCACCAACTCGTGTCTATAAACCTAAACCACCATATCCTAGAGCCTTAAGAGCCCCGAAGAAGGAGAAAGAAAAAGCTAAGCTGAAAGAGTTGATCGATCAATTAAATGTGAGATGACCTTTCGTAGAAGCTTGTGCTATGATTCCCGCTTTAAAAAAATACATGAAGGGTATTCTAACAAATTCTTTAACTCTTGAAGAAAAACGTTCTGATGATAACCCATGAATGTAGTTCTATCCTGAAAAGCCGAATCCCTGAAAAGAAAAATGATCCTGGGAGCTTCGTACTTTCATGCACCATCAATGATGTAGCTTTTGAGCGTGCTCTCTGTGATTTAGGACCTAGCATAACCATGATGCCTCTTTCAGTAGCAAAACGTTTAGGACATCACACTTTCCAACCCACTAAAATTTCTTTGGTATTAGCTGATCGTTCTGTTAGGCAGCCCGTAGGTATCTTAATAGATGTTCCCGTATAAATCGAAAAATGTTCCATACCAACTGATTTCATAGTTCTAAGACTAGAAAGAGAACCTAAGGATCCCCTTATTCTTGGACAACCATTCTTATCTACAGCTGGAGCCATAATCAATGTCCCGGAAGGAAAAATCGACCTTCATCTAGCCGGTTTAGTTATGCAGTTTGACATGAACAAAAGTTTCAATAAACCGACTTTGGATGGCAAAATTTGTTGGATTGATCAGTTAGACGGAATTATTGAGGAAGTCTATGAAGGTCTACTTCTCGACGACCCTTTAAGTGTCATGCTTTCACCCGCAAAACACGAACGCAATTTCCTTGACGAGTTTTTTAAGTGAGTGTGTGTGTATGCTTGATAAGTCCGGAACTTATAGGAAACCTCTAAACTATCTAGATCTTAAGGACCAAACAAACATTCCCTCACCTCCTAAAGATACTTCCGCAGCAATTAATGATCCTTTGAGCGAGCTCAAAGCCCCTAAAGTCGAGCTTAAACCTCTTCCCGTCAGACTTAAGTACGCTTTCCTTGGACCAAATTCTAGTTATCCTGTCATTATAAACTCTCGTTTGACAGAAGAAGAAACCACAATGCTGTTGTCTGAGCTGAGAAAGCATAGAAAAGCCTTAAGATATTCACTTGATGACATACCCGGAATTGCTCCAGATCTTTGTATGCACAAGATTAATCTAGAGGATAATGCTAAAAACTCAATCGAAAGTCAAAGGAGACTGAACCCTAATCTCATGGATGTTTTCAAGAAGGAGATTATGAAGCTTTTAGAAGCCGGAATAATTTTTTCTATCTCAGATAGCACTTGGGTTAGCCCAGTTCATGTTGTCCCGAAGAAAGGAGGAGTCACTGTCATTAAAAACGATAAGGATGAAATGATCGCTACAAGAATAGTAACTGGACATCGTATGTGCATCGATTAGTGGAAACTGAATGCAGCAACTAGGAAAGATCATTTTCTACTTCCATTCATAGATCAAATGCTAGAAAGGTTAGCTAATCACCCCAAATATTGCTTCCTTGATGGATACTCTGGATTTTTCCAAATTCCTATTCGCCCGGAGGATCAAGAAAACCGACATTCACTTGTCCATATGGCACGTCGCTTAGACCATCTCCAATGGTCCTTCAAATTTCACTTTTTCCTTCATTTTGAAGATAAAAATGAAGAAATCTTCTCCAATGGTGCTTCAATTTCACCTTGAAAATGAAGAAATTAATAGTGTTCCTTCATATTTGAAGGAACACTGTTCATTTCTTCATTTTTTGAAGGTGAACTTTTTTATTTACAAAATGAATCCTTAACTTTTTATATGTTTTGATTTATACTCAAACACAACGTATATGTTTTTTAACCCAATTAATTTTAAAACAATGTTTCGAGGCTTCTTTACATTGGTGAAAAACGAGGTTTTCCAGGAATGCTAGGTAGCTTGGATTGCATGCACTGGAAGTGGAAAAATTGTCCAACCGGCTGGGCTGGACAATATGCTGGTCGTAGTGGATATCCAAGTATAACTCTTGAAGCTGTGGCGGATTATGATCTTTGGATATGGCATGTATATTTCGGAATGCCTGGCACAAATAATGATATCAATGTATTGGAGTCTTCCCCATATTTTCTCCAATCTTGCTCAAGCTATTGCTCCTCCTGCTCGTTATATCATTCAAGGAAAAAAATATGATATGGGCTATTATTTGGCTGATAATATATATCCAAAATGTTCGACCATTGTGCAAACTATTCATGAGCCAGTGGGTTCCAAAAAAAAAAAAAATTGCTACACAACAAGAAGCTTGCAGGAAAGATGTGGAACAGGCATTTGGAGTTCTTCAATCACGTTTCGCAATTGTGAAAGGGCCAGCTCGTTTTTGGGATAAGAATGTGATACATGACATAATGACTACTTGTATAATTCTACATAATATGATAATTGAAGATGAGCGTGATCTCAACGCACCAATTGAAGTAAGAAGAGAAGTTCCACCTCCGAAGGTTGAAATAGAAGCGAATGAAAGTATCCGGTTCCAGGAATTTCTGGCTCGATACAGAAAAATCAAGGATAAAGAAGCTCATTTCTCTCTTCGAAATGCATTAATTGATCATTTATGGGAAAAATATTTGTCCTCCAGTATATCATAAGATTATGGTATGGTTTTTTCTTATTTACATTATGTATTTTTTCTCTTATGTATGGTTTGTTTTTATGTATGGTTTGCTCTTATTTACATTATGTAATGTAATTTTCTTTATATAATAAAGTTTTAAATTATATAAAATCATAATTTCGTTGAACAATTGTTCTAAATAAAATAAATAGGTGAAAGTTTGTAAAATTGAAAAGTAGAGGATCTTGTTAGCAATTAATAATAAAATAGACATGGAATATGCTTGGAATATTCTTTTTGAAGGAAAAAATAAAGAAAAGTTTGCTCCAATGGTATGAGACGGAATCGTGCTTGGGCACAGGACTTCTGGAAAAGGAATTGAAGTTGACAAAGCTAAAATCAAAGTCATGACCAGCCTACAACCCCCTACAAACGTCAAAAGGCATCCGTAGTTTCTTAGGACACACAGGATTCTACAGGCGTTTCATAAAAGATTTTTGTCAAATAGCTAGACCTCTTACGTGTTTGATTTGCAAGGAAACAAACTTCGAGTTCGATTATGAGTGCTTAGCCACGTTTCATAAGATCAAAGAAGCCCTTGTCTCCGCTCCAGTCGTGCAAGCACTTGATTGGGAACTCCCATTCGAAATCATGTGTGATGCAAGTGACTATGCAGTTGGAGCAGTGCTTGGCCAACGAAAAGATAAGAAACTGCACGTAATCTACTACGCAAGCAGAACTCTAGACGAAGCTCAATGCAATTATGCAACAACAGAGAAATAACTTCTAGCTGTCGTATTTGCATTTGAGAAATTCATAGGATCTAAGGTCATAGTTCATACTGATCATGCTGCAATCAAGTATTTAATGTCTAAGAAAGACGCTAAACCTCGGTTGATAAGATGGATCCTCCTACTGCAAGAATTCGACATCGAAATTCGAGATTGGAAAGGAGCAGATAATGGAGTTGCAGACCATCTTTCACGAATTCGAGTTGAAGAAAGATTGCCCTTAAATGATAGTTTGCCAGAAGAAAACATCTATGCATAGATACAACCCCACCCAATGCCAATGCCGCACCACCAAGGCAACTCATGCGAAGATCAGATGCTTTCAACACCCCATGGTTTAGGCACATAGCGAATTACCTAGCAGCCGATGTAGAATCACCTCAATTTTTTGGTTATAGGAAGAAAAAGTTTCTAAAGGACGTAAGACATTATTTTGGGGATGAACCCTATCTCTATAGTGCTGATGGGTTATTCCGAAGATGCGTGGCTGAAGAAGAGATAGAAGGAATTTTATTCGGATGCCATAGCTCGTCTTAGGCAGGACATTTTGCAACCTTCAAAACCGCTTCAAAGATCTTGCAAGCTGGTTTCTGGTGGCTTACTCTATTCAAAAATACTCAAGCTTATATATCGCGATGCGATAAATGCCAAAGGATGGGTAACATAAGCAAAAGGA